ATATGTTGGGCACTTGGGTTTCACTGTCTTATCCTGCTTCACTTTCAGTGCCTGGGCCGTTGCCAGGGACCTGAGAGGGTCTGCTGAGTGAGTGAGTGAATAATGAGTAAGTGAATGAGTGAATGAATGAGCGAGTAAGTGAATAAGCAAGCAGTTACGGGGCAGGAACTTCTGCCACAGAAGTTCCCGGCCCGCTCCCAGCTGCCTGACACCCACCCCGGGAAGTTCCCGCCCTGCTCCCAGCGGCCCGGCGCCCCTCTTCCGGCTGCTTAGTTCCTGCTCCCAGTGGCCCGGCACCCCTCTCCCGGCTGCTTAGTTCCCGCCCTGCTCTCAGCGACCCAGGCCCCCAGCCACTCCTTCAGCAGAGGCCAGGGAAGGCGGGAAGCTTGGCTTCCTCCATCACAGGGGCAACCAAGCCTCCTGCTTGCTCCAGCTCTGTGACTGCCGGCTGCCACCTTGGTTGGGTTAATTTGCATATAGTCGCCGATTGGCTGGTGGGGCGTGGCTTGGGGGTGTAGCGAAGGTATGGTCAATTTGCATGTTTGTCTTTTATTAGATAGGATATATATATGTATTGGACTTTCCTTTATTTACAGTTTTCAGAATGAGGGTTTTTTTTTTTCTTCTCCAGAATGTTTTAAAGCATCATAAACTCAAGGGTTTAAACATATTTGATGTTTTAATCCATAGCAGTCATATTTCTTTCTTATGCCCAAATGTACCCAGCGTTGGGCAATGAGAGCACCTTCAAGCTGGCTCCTGTGTACTTTTGACATGACTCCAGTTTACTTTGATACCTTTCCCTTTCAGTTATGACAAAATACTAACCTAGACTCACCTTTTACACATTCTGCCTCAGAACTAGATTCAATCATTCATCATGCTTCAGAGAAAGGTTTTTTTTTCTCATTTTTATTAAGCTCCATTATATACAACCCAAAGTTGTAATTTACTTGTAAATATTCCATTTCCATTTTCTGTCTTGAGTGAGGGGTTCACTATTTATTTACACAGAAAACCAAACATTCCAAACCTTCTCTCCACACATTACAGGTAACTAAATCTTCTAAGTCTATCTTTCAAATTTTTATCTTCAAAATTTATCATCTCCTTTCTAAATCAATTATCTGCATTTTAGGTCTCTTACTGCATTATTTGTGTACACTACTACACTGGACTAATAACTTATCTGCACCCAATTCATTCACACCATTTTTCAGAAAAACTCTCAAACACATACTTAGTATGCCACATTCTTGCTATCTCCCAAAAAAATCACAATTCAATTGGATGTTATCTTCATACTCTAGCCCCTGACTACCTTCTCTCTAATGTCCTTATTTCCTGTCTCTCTCCATAGTCATCTCAGACCCAGCACTCAGAACTCTTAAACCTGGTATAAACAGGTATTTTTTTTCAAGTCTCTATACATTTGTTCGTATTTTCTTTTTGCCTGGATGCACTTTTACTTCCATATTTGGAAAATGCCCCTCATTCCCTAGGCCAAGTTTAAAATTATGACTTCATAAAGTCTTCCAAAAGTCCATACACTGGATCAGATACTCCCTTTTCTGGAGTTCCATGGTATTATCAATTTTGTCCACAATATATCTGTACAAATAGCGTATAGGTTACTCAAATGTCAAGACTGCATCTTAGTCAGGACAGCGTTAATTGTTCAATGTGTAGCAAGCAATCCAGTCATTAAAAAATACTTATAAATAAGGATTTTAAAAAAACATCTTTCTGGTATAATTTCAGCTACTTTGCTTACTGTCACTCTTAAGAGAAGAGACACCAAATGCTCTGTTCCCTTAGGACAATGCTCTAGATAATGTTTGTGAAAGATAAAGTTATTCTTGAGCTATTCTAATCTACTTTGAAAAATTAACTTTTTAAGAAAAATCTATAACTATTCACAATTAAGCCATAAAAATATTCCTCAAATATCATGAACAAATTCTTCAAATTCCTGTTACAAATTCATAGTTTACTCACCAGGTTCTTACTATAATATTCCCATAGAATGGTGACAATTGTAATGTTTGGCTCCCAGAAATCACAAAGTGTCAAACAACAGTGAAGATACATTCGTAATTGCTCTTCTAGTATACCATCCTAAAAAATAAACTTAAATTGTGAAGAAGTAAATGGACTATAGCAACATATTATCATCACATGATATTGCATTAAGTAACCTGCTTCTAAAAAGAATATGAATACATATCACCAAATCATACCCACTTTTATCTTTAGACCAAAAAGTCTAAGTCAGCAAGGTATATGTCTAAAAATGCTTTAGAGACTCTTAATATATTCAGTTTAATGAAAATTATATAACTCAATTTGACTTTTAACTCAATTACTTAAAAACTAGAGGTCCAATGCACGAAAATTCGTGTAAGAGTAGGCCTTCCTTCCCCTGGCTGCTGGCACCAGCTTTGCTCCAGCACCTGGGACCTGTGCTTCCCTCTGGCGGCCAGCAGGCACCCGGGACCTGGGCAGCTTCTCTCTGGCCCCAGCTTCATCCGGAAGGATGGCCAGAAGGACGTCTGGTCTAATTAGCATATTACCCTTTTATTATTATAGATTACAATAGCTGTTTCATGATTGAATGGTGTAGGAAACTCAGAGATTGGAAAAGAAACCCAAACCAGAAAGAGGTAACAAAAATGATTTAATAATTAAGATGTATACAAATCCTAAGATCATACTTAAGTACTAGGTCAAATTCTTTTTAAAAAATGTTTTTATTGATTTTTAGAGAGAGAGGAAGGGAGAAGGAGAGAAACACTGATGAGAGAGAAACATCGATCGACTGCCTCCTGCACGCCCCCTACTGGGGATCAAACCTGCAGCTTGGGCATGTGCCCTGACAGGGAATCAAATCCCTTACCACTTGGTTTATGGGTTGATGCTCAACCACTGAGCCACATCAGCCACGCTAGGTCAAATTCTTTATAAGAATATAAGAATTGCTCTTTAAAAAAATTTTTTTTAAATTGATTTCACAGAGGAAGGGAGAGGGAGAGAGAAACATAAATGATGAGAGAGAATCTTTGATCGGATGCCTCCTCCACACCCCTCCTGGGGATTGAGCCTGCAACCCCAGCATGTGCCCTGACCTGGAATGGAACCGTGACCTGGTTCATAGGTCAATGCTCAATCACTGAGCCACCTCGGCCAGGCTAAGAATTGCTCGTTTAAAAACCAGAGGATTGGCAGAGTACATATATTTTAACTTTTAGGAAGTGCAGCAGGAGAAAGAACTTTTCTATGGAAAAGAAATGATGATAAATTCTCCTGCTGTTCCTGACCAGTATAGGTATATGGATCTTTATCCATATGAACCTATACAGCCTTTTAAGGAATGCTGTTAGAGCTGAAAGTAAGCTTATGAGGTTCCTAAGCTATGCTAAGGCATTAAGATTGGATTAACAGCTTTTGTAAATAACAATGACCATTTTCAATGATTCCCTATATTCTTGAAGTAAAAAATACACGCAAAAAACTTTGAGTTACTAAGTCAGTATATTCTTAAAAACAAGGAATAAAGCCAATTAAAATGACATAGAAAAATAAATATAAACAAAAACTTTTACAATAATTGGGATAATAGCTCTTTTGTTTCTGATACAACTGCAGTATGTAAAGGTCTCTGGATTTCTAAACTAGAAATCTTAGCTCATACTTAGAAAATTTATAACTAAATGCACTTAACATGTTTCACCTAAAAATATTAAGACTTAAGAGATAACAGGGAAAAGAAAATGTCAAGCTATTAAAATGATTCTCAAAGATATGGCTATAAAATAAATGTGTGTGCATATGTCTGTGTGTTGTGTGAGTGCTATGTACATAGCAATCTTTTACTACCACATTTCCTTTTTATTCTTCAAGTTTTAACAATCTTTATTTTTAACAGAAAAGTATCTATTTCCCAAATTTAAAAAATTATTTACTAAAAATTTTCCTTAAACTCTTACATAAATTATGTGACAAAACTGTATAGAACTACAATACAATATGTTTAAAGATGTGATGAACAGCACATTTAAAACTATTTTAAAAGGAGGTCAAATCTAACCTGTGGGCCATAAAGCACTACATTAACAGCTCTGCAGAAAGAAAAATGATAAGGTATGAAATGAAGGCTCAAAAACTAGGACCTTATCAGCTAGAGTATGATTCAGGCCTGTAAGACAAATTGCTCAGCAAGGCAAGTCCCCTTCCTGCTGTGATGAGAACAGAGCTGAATTTTCAATGTCACTGACTATCTCCCTCATCGTGTCTCCTAGACTTGGTATTATACAGTCGAGGAACGGCTTCGAGTTCTGAAGCATCTACTACTTTTTTTTCAATACATTTTGTCAAAGTCACCAACTAGGATAATTATCTTTGTCCTTTAACTGGCAACTCAGTGTTAAAACTAAAAAACCTTCAAAGGATAGTCACTAATAGGAACTATTATTTGTTGATACTTCATTGATAAAGATTTATGATTTCTATCACAGGTCATTAGTAAATAAACTAAGTATGTTATTTAAATCATAAATAAGTTAAGTTTGCTTGGTTCTTACAAATAAATTCTGTAACAAAAAAATTTGGCAAAGCCCACAAATTGTCTCACTTTAAGTGAGTGCATACCTGAACATTGATGGACCTTTTCAGCAGTTCTTCTACAAAATTCCAATTTGATTCCATTTGTCTCTAGGAAGGGAGAAAATATTACTGTATCAAAATTACTGCTCATAATTATAAATTAAAATTATGATATAGCAAGTTAAGCATGAAGTATAAACATTCTATCCAACATAAGACCTCACTACAACTTCCTGAATGTCTAAAATTACTTGGGCACAGTTGGTTGAGACTCAGTAGAAAAATTTACAACTATCCCAATCCAATATAGTCCTTGTAAGTTGTTTATTTATAAAATTATAAATGTTTTAACAAATACTTAATTTTTGCTGTCAGATGTAATCTAACAGAAAAAAAAAAAGCTTTTATTTATTTAATTTTTTTTGGAGTTTTTATTCCCTGAGTGTTGTTCCTTCCTTCTGGTACTTTACTCACCAGAGACTTTTTCCTTCATTTTATGCATAACAACCTGAAGACAGTCTACTCCAGTAAACAAGTAACTAAAAAATTTACACAGAAAATAAAGAAAAAATTTACATAGTACTATCTCTTATTTAGGTAATGGTCATTTACTAGAAACATCAACTATCTAAAAGATTCCCCAAAGTAAGGAAGAAAGCCAAAAAGAACTTTCTCAGAGCCAAAATATTTCACAATGGCTAGAAACTGAAAGTGACTAAATGTTTCCAAAAGAAAAGCCTGCAGACCTCTCACAGGATACTAAGTCCATTGACACTCAGTGTGTACACTGCAACACTGATGCCAGGAGACTAGCATGTCTTGATTCCAGGGGGAGAGGAAAACAGAAACTCCACATTTCGTACTTCCTTGATCTCTGCATTATGTACCCTTGGCTAATTTTAATTTAAATCCTTTCTCTGTAACAAACTATAGCTGTGAGTATAATAGCATTCAGTAAGTTATTTATATCCAAGTAAATGATGTAGTTTCGGGAATTCCTGAGCTTGCAGTTGGTGTCAGAAACGAGATCAGCCTTAAGGACTGTCCCCTAAAGCTTAGTAGTTGACCCTAAAAGTTTCTCAAAAAGGAGACCCTTTTGTTCTTTCAATACTACACATATATGGTGTTAGGGTCTTTACATTATTACTTCCTCAGAAAAATCTTAGCCATTTCAAAGATAACACAAGTCTCAGAAAGATCATATATGTACGAGTCAAGTCCAAGTTGGTCTGCCCCCAGAGCAGTGTTCCTTCCATTATACCAAATTATCAGCAACTGATTTTCTTTTTCTAACAAGCCTTCCCTCAGCTCTGAGAAATTTACTTTTCTATCATTCTGTACTAAGAAAACAGTACCACTAGTCCCAAATAGGCAGGAACATGATAGGGTTGATGTTTTTGCTTCGTAATTTGAGTGTGAATGAGTATATTTCAATTATTCTGTTCTATCAAGGCATTTGAATCACATGAATTATAAAGGAGTATAATTGTTGTCCAAAGAATTTCAACTCTATGGATCAATATTGTGGTTACGTTCTGAAAAAATAAGCCATAACTCAGAGGAAAGAATGGTGACTGTATCATGCCAAAATCAAATCTGAGTAAGAGAATGTCTCAAAATACTGGTATTTCTTTCAACAGTGACAGCATTTTTTTTTCTTTCTGTATACTAACTCCACTGAGGAAAAAACAAAAGTAGGGAGTCATGGATTTGGGACTGTGTTTTACATTTCTTAGCCCACTATCAAAACTAAACACCAGGAGAAACCAAGATGGCGGCATAGGTAAACACATGAAATTGCTGCCTCACACAACCACTTCAAAAATACAACTAAAAGACAAAATGGACATCATCCAGAAACACAGGAAGGCTGGCTGAGTGGAAATTCTACAACTAGAAGGAAAGAGAAAAGCACACTGAGACTCAGAGGAGGTGCGGAAGTAAAGTGCAGAGGTACGGATGTGCGCGAGGAAAGGGCTGGAAACTGAGGATGTAGTTGTCTTTTTCAATCGGGATGGAGACACAAGCTCCTGACAGCCCTGACTCCAGTTCCGGGCGAGTCTCTGGGGACCCAGACTCACATGGGGAGAAACTGGACTGTCTGGCATCGGGTGGAACTCGAGGGCAAGTTTCTCTCAGAGGTGCTTGCAGCGATTACTGTGGGACACTGAGACCCGGGACCTCTTAGGGTAGGACTGAGGATCAGCCATAGCTGTTTGCTCCGCCCTGTTGATTTCTTGAGACCCCGCCCCACCCAAGCTGTGGGCAGAGGCTTTTGCATATGAATGGCCTGGCCCTTTGCAATCTGAAAATTACCTAACAAACTGCAGCTGGGTCAGAGAGACCCAGAACATCCAAAAGAAGGCCCAAGGCCCCACAGCAGCTTGTATTGCTTCACAGCTGGGCCTCTCATCTGGGCACCTCCAAATCCCAAACTACGAAGAGGAATCTGCAGATCTCTCCGTAGCTCCTGCTGGGTAGCCTCAGGCAGAGGCTAAATTAGCACCTCCTTAGAGATCCAAGTGCCAATGTATCCAGTGGCCAGAGTGGGACCATCCAGATTACAACTCCTCAGATCCATAAGGGACACACTCAGGGGGCAGACTCAGTGAGCACCAAAGCCCCACTAAAGTAAGTCTTGCCCCATAAGGGTGTCTCCAGCACAGAAGTTCTCCCACCATAGACACAGCTGATTCTCACAGCCAATTGGCCTGGAGGTCAATTCCTCCCACTGATACCAATAACAATCAAGGCTTAACTACAACAAGACTGCACACAGCCCACAAAGGGGTGCACCAAGAGTGTCCACCTTGGGGAGGCTGAGCCACTGGGCCCTATAGGACACCTCGCACACAAAGCCAGTCTATCAGCACAGGAAAGCAGCCAAAATGCGGAGAAAAAGAAACAGGTCACAAATGACAGAAATGGAGGAAAGCAAACTACTGGATATAGAGTTCAAAACCACAGTTATAAGGTTTTTCAGGAATTTTCTAGAAACTGCTGATAAATTTAGTAAGTCCCTCAATAAGTCTAGTGAGACCCTCGAGGATATGAAAAAGGACCAACTAGAAATTAAGCATACACTGACTGAAATAAAGAATATTATACAGAGATCCAACAGCAGACTAGAGGATCGCAAAAATCAAGTCAAAGATTTGAAGTACAAAGAAGAAAAAACACCCAACCAGAAAAGCAAAAAGAAAAAAGAATCCAAAAATATGAAGATAGTGTAAGGAGCCTCTGGGACAACTTCAAGCGTACCAACATCAGAATTATGGGGGTGCCAGAAGAAGAGAAAGAGCAAGATATTGAAAACCTATTTAAAGAAATAATGACAGAAAACTTCCCCTACCTGGTGAAAGAAATAGACTTACAAGTCCAGGAAGCGCAGAGAACCCCAAACAAAAGGAATCCAAAGAGGACCACAACAAGACACATCATAATTAAAATGCCAAGAGCAAAACACAAAGAGAGATCCTTAAAAGCAGCAAGAGAAAAACAGTTAGTTACCTACAAGGGAGTACCCATATGATTGTCAGCTGATTTCTCAACAGAAACTATGCAGGCCAGAAGGGAGTGGCAAGAAATATTCAAAGTGATGAATAGCAAGAACCTACAACCAAGATTACTTTACCCAGGAAAGCTATCATTCAGAATTGAAGGTCAGATAAAGAGCTTCACAGATAAGAAAAAGCTAAAGGAGTTCATCACCATCAAACCAGTATTATATGAAATGCTGAAAGGTATCCTTTAAGAAGAAGAAGAAGAAGAAAAAGGTAAAGATACAAATTATGAACAACAAATACATATCTATCAACAAGTGAATCTAAAAATCAAGTGAATAAAAAATCTGATGAACACAATAAACTGGTGATTATAATAGAATCAGGGGCATAGAAAGGGAGTGGACTGACAATTGTCGGGGGGAAAGGGATGTGGGGGTGCGGGAAGAGGCTAGACAAAAATCGTACACCTAAGGAGGAGGACAGTGGGGGTGGGGGGATAAGGGCAGAGGGTTGGGTGGGAACCGGTGGAGAGGAGCTATGGGGGGAAAAAAGAGGAACAACTGTAATAATCTGAACAATAAAGATTTAAAAACAACAACAAAACAAAAACAAACAAACAAAAAACCTAAACACCAACCTGAGCTTCGGCAGAGATGGTATATCCATGAACCAGAAATGTAAAAGAGCCCCCACCCTCCACTTCCAGTGAACTAGGTAACCTGGTATAACTCATTTTAAAGTTACATTTCACAGCTTTTATCTGCTCATCATTTAAGATGTTTCAGAGACAAGCATCAGCTGGACTGACCGACTATACTATGTTATGGGCAAGGGATAGCTCTGTCAAACTGAAGCTTACAATGCTCAAAGGTAATTTTTCTCTGTAAATTCTTTTTCCTTTTAAAACAGATGATAGGATTGTAAGAGGATAGCATACTCTCATCTTGGTTGAAAGAAAAGCATGAAACAGAAATACAAGAAAACTGAAAGCCTCTAGTATAAGAAGTGAGATACCAAATTTCCTTATAGGCCTATATTAAGCACTTGACAAGTTTTGTGATTTAAATCCACATATAGCGGAAGTCCATTTATAGTAACTTAAAAAAAAAATTAACTATATTGAAACCTATTTAAAATGTAAAGGATTTCACATTCATCTTCAGGGCACCGCAGTCCACATTTAAAAATGAAAGCAACTCTATGTTTAACACAAAACCAGAGGTATTTGCTGCAGAACATATGACTAACCATTATTACTTCATATCATCCTCTCACACTAGATAACTCTTTAGTGCAGGGATGGGGAACCACTTTTCTGCCAAGAGTCATTTGGATATTTATAACATCATTCTCGGACCATACAAAATTATCAACTTAAAAATTAGCCTGCTATATTTGGTCAAACATTTAATTAACTTACACCTAATGCCTTGGCAGCGCCACACCAAATGATTTCGCAGTCCATATTGAAATGAAAAGGCTAAGTAAAGACCTTAGAATTATAGGTAAATCTTTGAGTTCTTTAATGTTGTTCTAATATTCTAATAATTAAAAGATGTGAAACATTATTACTCCACAAAAATATAAAAGTGATACTATAGTAATGGTAATTGTTAACATATATTGAGTATTTACTGTGTATCAGCATGGTAAAGACTCAGGTATAGAAACAAAGGACATACAATCTTTCTCTGAGAAGTTCATTCTATTGACCTTGTTCAATGTATGGTAGAATTCTTAAATGCATTGATACCAAGCTGTGTGGAACTTCTCAGAGCACTTTCTGACTCTACTTTATCTTGAGATCGCCTTAACAAGCTGTTTACTAGGGGGATCATCTAGAGAACTTCTTGAGGCCCTTTCCATTTCTCTTACACAATGTCAACACTAATTGCTCCTCAGATTCCATGAAGATTTCTCAGCTGACTCTGTTCGATATTCCAAAAAGAAGAAAATCTGTCAAGTCCAACAAGAAACATGTCAGGACCACCAGAGTTGAGGTCCAGAAATCTGAATTTAAAAAAACCTCACAGGTAGGTCTGGAGAAATATGCTTTCCTTCTGGTAATCTTAAAGATTTTAGAAATAGAGGGAATCTTTCAAAAATCCATTCTCATGATCTCTGGATGAGGAAACAAAGGCCCAGAAAGTTTTAAATAATTCACTGAAGGTCACATAACCACTTGGTAGCAGAACCAGAACTAGATCCCAACTCTTCTACAAATTGCTTTCTTAAACAATAAAAATATAAAGATTATGCTTTTTCAAGATGTTTACAGAAAGGTCTACAGCTTCTAGATTCAGAAACTGAATTTATCTCTACAGGCTAATGACCTGGTTTTGCTGTTGTTTCTGTTCATCTACTTTCTAATTTGTCTACCAAAAATATGTATTAAGTGATTATACAAGAAAATTAAAAAAAAAAAAAATCTTACCATTTCATCTGGTGCTCCGTGGCGATCAAATTGGTAAAGTGATGCTACATGAGTAATAATCCACCAACTAAAACCCAGTGGATCCCTGGACTGGATAGCAAGCACAGGTCTTCTTTGCTCACTTGACGTTTCAAAAAGTGTTTTAAGTAGTTTATTCAACCAGTTCCAAAACGGCTATAGAAACAGAGGTAATATGACTCAATTAAAATAAATATTGATCCAATAACCTTTGACTTGGGTGTGTCCCTCCATTTTTATAATGAACTATACATGCAAAAGAGAATATAAAATATATAAAACTCAAAGAATAAAAAAAAATACCCATGGATAAGCATATGGGATTTTATGGTGATGAAACTATTCTGAATGATACTATAATGGTGGATCATGACAATGCATTTGTCAAAACCCATAGAACTGTACAATACAACGAATGAACCTTACTGTAAACTATAGGTTTCATCTAATTATAACAAATGTATCACACTAACAAATGTACCACACTAAAGCAACATACTAAGGGAAACTGAGTGGAGGGAAACAAGGAATTATATGGTAATTCTGTACTATTATCTGCTCAAATTTTTTGTAAAACTAAAATGCCTGAAAATTAAAATCTATTAATAAAGATAAAAAAAAAAAAATACCCATGTTAAGAATTAGAACATAAATAGTATTTTTCTTTTCCCAACCTGGGTAACCATTATCCTGACTTTTATAATAAATCATTTTCGTTTTTGTAAGTTTTGCCACATCTACACTAATAAAAGAGGAAGATGCTAATTGACCGTACCTTCACTGCGCCCAAGTCACGCCCACCAGCCAATCAGAGCGACTATATGCAAATTAACCCAACCAAAATGGCGGCCGGCAGCCATGGAGCTGGAGCAAGGAGGAGGCTTGGTTGCCCTGGCGATGGGGGAAGCCAAGCTTCCCACCTGCTGTGGCATCCACAAAAGGCAACAAAATTTCAATTACAGAAGCTAAATAAATCCCAAATACCTGCTTCCAGCCAGCCTCCACTGGGAGCTTGGGTGGCTGGGGGGAAGGAAGGCCTACTCTTGCAGGAATTTTCATGCATTGGGCCTCTAGTAGGTATACAAGCCCAAATCATGTTATTTTTGGCTTCCCCTGTTGTTTTGTGTGTTTTTAATGCATGCTTTTATTATTTTTAAATGGAATTCATTGGAGTGACATTGGTTAATAAAGTTATCTAGATTTCAGGTGTGCAATTCTATAATACATCATCTATATATTATATTGTGTGTTTACCACCCCAAGTCAAGTCTCCTTCCATCATTTATTCCCCCTTTACTCTCTTCTCCCTCTGGTAATCACCATTCTGTTGTCTGTGTGTTGAGTTTGTTGTTTTTTTGCTTAATCCCCTCACCTTTGTTTCCTTCCAACAGCTGTCAATCTATTCTCTGTACCTGAGTCTGTTTCTATTTTGTTTGTTAGTTTATTTTGTTCATTAGATTCTACATGTAGGTCAAATGTATTTGTCATTCTCTGACTGGCTTATTTCATTTGGCATAATACTCTCCAGGTCCATCATGCTGTATCAAAGGGTAAGACTTCCTTCTTTTTAATAGTTGAATAGTATTCCATTGTATAAATATACCACAGCTTTTTTATCCACTCATCTACTCATGGGCACTTGGGCTGTTTCCAAATCTTGGCTATTGTAAATAACACTGCAATAAACACAGGAGTGCATATATTCTTTCAAATTAGTGTTTCAGGTTTCTTTGGATATATTTCCTGAAGTGGAATAGCTGGGTCTAAAGGCAGTTCCATTTTTAATTTTCTGAGGTAACTCCACACTGCTTCCCACCAATCTGCATTACCACCAACAGTGCACAAGGGTTCCCTTTTCTCCACATTCTCACCAACACCTGTTGTTTGTTGATTTATTGATTATAGCCATTATGATAGGTGTAAGGTGATATTTCATGTGGTTTTATTTTGCATTTCTCTGATGATTAGTGATATTGAACATCTTTTCATATGTCTATTGGCCATCTGTTATGTCCTCTTTGGAGAAGTGTCTATTAAGTGGTCTGTTTCTATTCTTTGGGAACTTGCTTCTTTTCCTCAACATTATGTTTCTGAGCTACAGCCAAGTTAATGGGGGCAACCAGAGTTCAACAGAATTTTCCAATATATGACTATATGATAAAACAATGTGCCTAATTTACCATTGAACATTTGATGCATTTTAGTAAGATTTTTTTCTAGGTATTTGTACACTTCAAATATTCACATTATTAGGCATAAGGTTGTTGACAATATCTCAACTTTTTTGAGTCTTTTCTTTTTGCATTTGTTTTAATTTTACAGAAAATTTTTGCAGCATTCTGCATGTGATGCTTAAAGGTGGCAACATATATACATATACACATATTCATGGCAGCTAAAATAGAATGTGTACAGGCCCAAAACTCTATCATATTACACAGGTGTCCCCTACCTACTCATGGCACTTTTGGGAATATGAGTGCACATACCAGTAAAATATATGTAGGTCTGTTTCCCTAAAAGAAGAGTAAATTATTTCAGTTGTTCCTTCATTTTCTTTTTCTAACTTTTTAAACACACACTTCCTTACATAATCATGTGGCAGAAAAAAAACATGGGCTGTGGCATCAAATAAATATACATTTGAAACCCACCTTTATATATTCTGACTGTTATTTGAACAGTTTACTTAACCTCACACCCATTCTGCTTTCTGGCACATAAGCAATATCACTCAAGGAATAATTAGCTTTCCTTCTTTTCTGGGAAATTGAACTGAAGTCTAATTGAAATCTACTGGATAATGAGGGTTGGGTTTTTAGGAAAACACTCAAACAGAGACATCTAGTATTAGCTACCTGTTTAGAATATTTTCTGGGACACAGTATGTCCTTGACTAAATTAGTTCATTTTCATTGTTAGAGTTCCCACATAATTTGGGGTACATGTGAATTTCCCAAAATTCCTAAGCCTCTCCCAGGCTTCTCCAATTGCTTATCCTGAGTCCCTAAAAAGCAACATCCTATTGCCTTCACAAAGCAGCAACCCAGACATTTGAAATAACTTAATAACCCTGAACTGCCTCACCCCTTTGGATAATTTGCTTAGAACATTAATCCGTTAAACACTGGTCTGGTTGCAGAAAATGTCCCTTTATTAGTGAGAAAACTTCAAATCCCATTCAGTATTTCCCTGCCCTCATTCCAGGGATAGGGTAGGGACAGGAGGTAGGGAGAATTAAATAGTTCTGCAAGAATGTAAGTATACACACAAATATACAAACATGATTTTTTAAAAAATAAACTGATATACTGTATAAATTAGTATTGTCACACTGTGAATGTCTTAAATCCTTGTATAAGATAGAAAAAAAGAAATATCTGTTTTCAGCAGTCTGGAGCCCTCCTAAGAATGGGCCTATATGAGCCTTAGCTTACTGTTAGCATTCTGTGATACCTTGAATTCCCAGGCAGGCAAAACATAGACACTTTCCTGTTCCTTCTGAAGCTTTCAAATGATTTTTCTGTTCTTCTTTCTTGGCTAATCCACATCCATATTGGTCCCTAAAGCCACTGCATGTCAGATAGTCAGTGCAAAGAGTAATTTTTAACTTGCTCCTTTGTTGGTTTAGGACATTTTTGTTTCCTTTTGGTTTGGTCACTTTTTCTTAGTCCTGAGCTTTTTATTAAGAAAGTATCTCATCGTTGTCCGTATGATTTCCAGAGTAAAAGGTAGGACCTATGTTGCTTCTAAGATGAGGCTTGTTCTGTTGTCATATTAATTCATTCAGTTCTAGAGAATAAAAGTCTGGGGTCAGGGTGTCAGCTTGGTCAGATGAAGGGTCTTTTCTGGATCACAGACTCTGGCTCTGTCCTCCTAAGGAAGGAGGTTTCCTGAGTTTTTTTACATGTCCCACAGTTGTCATGTTTTTAAATGTCATTTCTGTGAAGTCTAGTGCAGGTCAAATTATTTTGCAATTTTAAGTTATTGTGTCTTTTTTGCCTGGAAGTTTCGCAGATTTCCTAGAGGACTTGAAGACATTTTCTTTATCTCTGAAGTCAGAGTTTTAGCAGGCTATATGTCTTAGCATGGATTATTTGGAGTTAATCTTTCCAGTTATATAGTAGGTTTTCTCAATATGTGGATTTAGTTCTTTATTTCTGAAATGTTTTCTTAGATTCACCCATTGTTTTGAATGTCAGTTATGTCCCATTGCTTTTTCTTCTTCAGGGACTCCATTTAAACAGATGGTTATTCTTTGCCTATCTTCCACTTCAAATATTTTCTCTCTAACCCTTTATATTCCTTTATCTCGTTTTTATTCCTCTGGTTGCCTTTCTTACATGCCCCTTATTAAATTTTCAGTTGAGTCTATTCTCCTTGGGGACCTTATAATTTAGTCAATTCTAAATGATTTTTATTTCCATTTCTCTCCTGCATTTAATTTACTCCATTCATTCCTGGCTTTTGGTCTATTTATTTCAACAATGGAATATCTCATTCAAGGTGTTTTTTTGTTTGTTTGTTTTTTACAGACCCAAATGCTTGTCTATTTAATTCAGTATGAAGTGTTCTCTTACAGTTTTCTTCTGCTTTATAGTTATTTCTGGGAGAAAGGGTATCATGGGCTAAAGTATGTCAATTCTATTTTCTTGTAGTAACTTTAGAAAGACGTGTTTCGTTTCCTTCCGTTTGTTTTGTAGATTTGGACTATTTTAAGATTCCTAGTTCAGTGGAGCACTCTTTTGTCAATGTACCAAAATTACATTCTTTATTGGGTTTCCGGTTATTTTTTTTTTTAGTTTTGGTTTTTTGTTTGTTTTTGTTTCTCTTTCGTTTTACAAGACCCTACATTTTCTGCTTTACTTCCTGTCACTGTCACCACTCAATCAGCAAGGGGGAGCCATATCCTTTTTTCACTTGTATTCTCCAGAAGCTCTAACTTCAAAGACTGCCTTCTCATGTAATGTACACACTCTTATGTTCCTATCCTATAACCAGTTCTCTGATATATAAGGAAACTTTTTCAGTATTTTCACATTCTGACAATGGTTTTAGACCAACTTTTATGACTACTGTTAGCTCCCTTCTTCTCTCCTCTGAGCAAATTTTCTGACTACCATTGCTTGCTAGAAAGTTTTGTGGTAGAGCTTTGGTGGCTTTTACTTGTAATTGACAGCTTTGAATATCCCTATCTTGTAGTTATGCTATCAATATGTTTTTCTGGTGTAGTTTTATTTGTTCTTGCTGTTCTATGTTTTGGAGGAGGTTAGGTTAGAAGCTTCGAGTTTAAGCATCCACCCCTTCTCCATGGCTATTAGACATTATCACTGGTTTAGAAGTCACTGGCTTGAAATTTTTAGTACCAATTAGGCATCATGAACTCACTGGCTTGCAATAATAAATACATAACTTTAAACTGCAATACACCACAGCTAAAGACAGACAATTTTCCTTACAAATTTAGTTGAGTTTTTAGTTCATTCTTTTGGGAACCCAGAATTAAGAATAGTGGTATATTAGTAGGATACTCATTTGGGTAAACTCTGATATTTATTGTCTTGTACCTTATAATGTATGAAAGCTAATGTTCAAGTTTATACAATTCAGCAACTGCCCCTAAATTGATAAGGCAGCTTCAGTGTTCAAATGACCTGAGTTCCCGACTATATTTAGTATTTGGCCTCAGTACTTCTTACTTTCTACAAGCTCACTGACACACTAAAATGCTTCATATAGGATACCCAGCATATGGTGGATTATACATATTTTTTTAACAGGAAGATAAAACTGTCTTACTATCAAGAATATAAAGTTCTACTTTGACTTTCAAGTTAAATGGACTTGAAATCTGAGAATAATATAACTTAATTTTAGTACTATTTTAAAAAGAAAATAGCTTCAGACATTATTTTAAGACAAACAAGTATGGTTACTACATAAAATGAAGAGCATACAAATCATGTAGGTTATATATGTTACTACGCAAACTTCTGCAATTAAGATTTTAAATTATGTCTACTTTTCTGTTTAAAATCTAGAAAATTTCTAATAACAAATATAAACATGCTTACACTATGTGTGGTTCATACTTTCAAGTCTGAAATTTATAAAATAAGAACAATTCTAAAAAATTCTTAAATAATAAAGATAAGCTTTGCAGAAAATTAGAAAATTGATTTTTACCATGTCATTGAAATAAAACACCCTGGCAAATAATGAAAGGGGAAAAATGTTGCTGAGACTTTCTAATATTTAAGTCTTGTAGAAAGCTGAACTGTACCGACAATTCAAAATACCATGAAAAAAATTTTCTTACTCAATAGTAAGTAAAAATACAAATTTATACTTAGTAAACTTACTTTATTTTACTTATATTCAGTAAATTTACTGCTAAAATAACTCAGAATACAGTACATGGACCCTGGCTGGTGTGGCTCAGTGGCTGGTGTGGCTCAGTTGGTTGGAGCGTAATCCCATACACCAAAAGACTGCAGGTTTGATTCCCAGTCAGGGCACATATACACAGGTTGCGGGTTCGATCCTCAGTTTGGGCACGTACAGAAGGCAACCAAATGACATTATCTCTCACATCAATGTTTCTCTCTTTTCTTTCTCTCCCTTCCCTTCTCTCCAAAATCAATAAGCATAACCATAGGTGAGGATTAAAAAAAGCAATAAATAAATAAATAAATAAATAAATAAATAAAGTACTTGTAAATCTGCAAAAATAGTCATTATTAAAATTAGATAGCAGTAACCAAACCCCAAATTGTGAAAAGTTGGGAAAATTAAAAGACCCATAAAATATTAAAAGTATTCATATAACATAAACCATTTTAAGTATCATTTCACAATGAATTGTTTATACTTACTTCTGCCTATGGATATTTCTCTTTTTCTCCTAATCGATAATACTTGAAATTAAATAAAGCCCCATTATGAAGACTTTGCTCAAAATGAGGTGAAAGAAAATGTCCTATCTTCCTCTTTGTGCTTTTCTTCATCCCTCCATGAAATAATACTGAAAAATTGATTAACAGAAACCTGTTTATTTCTTCCCAAATCTAAATCTGCCACATTTCCTAACTGAAATGTTTCCTGAGTTACTGAAGACAATTAATAAGTATTTTAGCCTAACAGATTCTTGATAAAACAACAACCCCCAAAAACCCCTTAAGAAAATAAGACAGCCATATTTTACACTTCTCTTAGATGTTTCATATTACCAATTTAGGGTTAAAAATGTAGTAGGTATTTAGTACTCAGTTAATGCTCTGTTTGGTGGTGGTGGTTGTCTTATAAAGAAGGAATGTTGTAAGATTTTTTGGCCAAAACCACTGCATAAATTTAACATAATTAGTAACAATAACTAATACATCAATTTTACAACTTACTTCTGAGAGAGACCATTTACTTCTTTGGTCTAGAAGATGAATGAGTAGAACCCATAGTTCTTTAATGCATGGGCATGGGCAATGGTCACTCGTTAATGCTTCAAAAGCCCTAACCTGTAGAAAATAACCAAAATGAGTTAGAACAGAATTTTCATGCCACACATTTTTCTAAATATTTTAAAAGAATTATTTAGATGTCTTAAAATTTATGCTTAACTACAAAAAATTCTTTATAAAAAATGTGCTATTTCATTAACTTTTATAAATTCCCATTGTAAAACCAAAAGTACAGAATTTTATTTTCAACTTAAAAAACCCTCTGCTTTAATTATCTAGTCTAATGTTCAGCAAACATTCTGTACATAAGAAGCTAGGTAACAAATATTTGAGGTTTTATTCATGATATAGTCTTTGCATATTTACTCAATGCTGCCATTGTTGTGCATGAGCCACTGACAATTCATAAAAAAAGGATGAGGCTGTGTTCCAGGAAAGTTTTGTTTACAAAAGCAGGGGGTATGTTAGATTTGACCTCAGCTTCATGGTTTCCTAACTTTGATCTAATCCATCAGGCACAATAAAAAGACATGTAGTAAAAACATTAGAAAATAACTTTTGATTCACTGTTGAGACTAAAAATAGTGACAAGTCAGAATAAATACAATTATTAGGGCTATATAAAAGTTAAGCAATTTTACCATTTTCTTTTTAAAGCTGTTGCTATTTTTTTTTAATTGATTTTTAGAGAGAGTAATGGAGAGGGAAAGAGATAGGAACATCAATGACACAGAAACATTGATCAGCTGTGTTTTGCATGGCCTCCACGGGGTTCAAGACTGCACCCCTGGAATGTGCCCTAACAGGAAATTGAACCAGCGACCTCTTGGTGCATGGGTTGATGCTCAACCCTGAGCCACATTAGCCGGACTTTACCATTTTTACAACAAATATATCCTCAATGACCCTAAAAAATGCAGAGAATATTGTCTATACTTCTAAGTATAGCTAAACTTCTGAAACTCATAATATACATCTTATTTCACATACATTACATATACACTGAGTGGCCAGATTATTATGACCACCTGACGTTTGTAGGCAAATTAGCTATAATTTCACGCTGAAGTTGCTAGAGGGCCAGACCATTATAAATAGGGATGCAGGTTGTTTATCACAACAGAAGTGATTTTTTTCTGAAGATATGGGTAAACAACGCGATTTAACAGCCTTTGAACGTGGGATATACAGTACATTTCTAACATAATACATTAAGATATTACTATATCATATCTGATTAACATATTCCTGTTAATTATAAACATATAGATTAAATTTAAGAGATATTGATAATACATAAAACAATCTACACTTTAAAAAATTATAAATCCTGATTTTCTATTAGTAAGGTTTATGCTTGTAATTGGAAATAAGTGATGATAATCTATAAATTTCCATTACTTGAAAATGAGTGTGTACTGTAACACCTTTAAATCTGTCTGTATTAAACACTATATATAAATACAATTTAGTAAAAACAAGTGATTTCCACCATGATGCCAGAACTTTCATGAAAACGACCCTTAAAATTTGTCAACTAAAACCACCTTTTTTTCTTTAATATATTTTTTATTGATTTCAGAGAAGGGGAAAGGAGATAGAAACGCCAATGATGAGAGAGAATCATTGATTGGCTGCCTCCTGCACGCCCCTTACTGGGGATTGAACCTGCAACCCAGGCATGTGCCCTTGACTGGAATCGAACCAGGGACCCTTCAGTCCACAGGCTGATACTTTAGCCACTAAGCCAAATCGGCTAGGGCAGTGGTCGGCAAACTCATTAGTCAACAAAGCCAAATATCAACAGTACACTGATTGAAATTTCTTTTGAGAGCCAAATTTTTTAAACTTAAACTATATAGGTAGGTACACTGTTAACTTAATTAGGGTACTCCTAAGGCTTAGGAAGAGCCACACTCAAGGGGCCAAAGAGCCGCATGTGGCTCGAGAGCCGGTTTGCCGACCATGGGGCTAGGGCTAAAACCACCTTTTAAGCTTGTCAACTAACTTTAATTACTCATCTCTTTCATTATGTAACTAGAGGCCCAGCATGCGAAATCGCACAGGACCCAGACCCCGCCCCCTCCACCCGCCCCTGGGCTGCCGGACTCTGGACTCCCTCTCGCTGCCTCTGCAGGACACCAGAGTCCCGCCTGCCTGTGCCACAGGACCCAGAAGTCCCGCCCACCGCAGTCAATGCACCTCCTGGTGAGGCGGTCATGGTTCCTTATGGCATTATGGCCACAGGTCTTTTATTTTATAAATAGCAATATACTAGATCATTAAAGGACTGGCCTCTGCTATGTAAACAGAAGTTAAATTCCAGTCATTATCATAAACATCCTGTTTTCATTTATTTATTTTTGACAAGATGAAAAGGCTTAACTAATTCCAGCCTCTTTTTGAAAAGATGTTTAAAACCTATTCTTTCCCATTCAACTCCCAGATAATTTTTAAATTTAGATTAAATTCTTATATCTTAAATCATACAGATTAAGGACTGACTTGCCATTAAGTATCAAAAATACAAATAAACTCTTAAAGCATTACCTTGTCATACCTGTTGAGTGACAAACTTATTAAATCACAAAGGAGATTTTCACAGTGCTCTTCAAATAGACTGACATTGGTTAAATTGTCACCTGCCAGATTCATAAACTGATGACCATATACAACATGTTCTAAAAATGTAATAAAATAAATTTTATTTAAAACTACAGGAGAAAAGTTACTGTACCCCTTTAAATTATAACAAGACTGTAACATGTAGTTAAAAGCAAATTTTTGCAAGCAGAAGTTAAATATTATAATTCCTTTCTTATATGAACACTGATGAAACATCATGTAAAAAAGTTTCAATTCTTCCAGTTACCATTCAATAGGCTTCTCTATTGTTAATGTGGCCATCTTTGTAAAGCAACCATGCAAAATTACTTAAGAGAAAAAAATAAAAATAAATTAAAAAGAGGATAAACACTAGAAATTCTTCATCCTCATTTCTAACCAATAGAGCCTGTTCAACATTATTCTTTTAACAAACAATGATAAAGTAGCCATATGCAATTGCATGAAGTAAAGCTAACAAAAGATACCAAAATTTGTACCTATAGCAGAGTAAGTCCACCAGAGTTTGCTCTAAGAAAATATTTAAAATACAGTGTTCACCTGGCAGAAAAAGTTATTTGTGTACATCGTTGCATATTTTTGTGTGTATATATGTAAGTATACATAGACACACACATATATGTATTTTTGTATTTATTAATTAAAAAGCAGAAATTGAGGTAATGGATGTCTTTATAACCTAAATAATTAATTTACTTTACAACTAAATATTTCCAGAATATTGCTAAACTTAAAAATAGAACCTAAACATGCCAAAGAGCAAGACCAAGACATAAACAGGCAACATATGAAATAAAAGATTATTATCTATTATAAACTTCTACTAATTTTAAAAAAAGGAAAAATTTTCAAAAGATTATGAATATTAAATAATAAAGAAAATATAGAGACAATAAAATTATGTGAAGATGTTCAACTTCAATGGTAATCAAGAAATTGCAACAATAGAGATTCAGTATCATTTTTCACATATTCATTTACAAAAAAGAAAAGTAATTGATAATATCCAGTACTGGAAATAGTACGAGGAAAGGAATGCTCACGGTGTATACAAATTGGGGAAATTTACAGCAACATAGAGCATATACAATATTAAAACTGCAATATGCCACCCCAATTCTAAGAATCTATTCCAAAGCATAACTTGTATACATATTGAACAATGTATATATACACAAGGATGGTCAGTGTAATATTTATAATATCAAAAAAGGGAAATAATTGAAATACTTAAAAAATAAACTTGGCTAAATAAATTATGATAGACCCTTTACATACAGCCCTTAAATGAATAAAGTAAAACCACATGCATGAACATGAACAAATCTCTAAAAAAAAAACTACACAGAACAATGACAGCAGCATTTGTGGTTAGAAAGCAAAACAAAAATCCTACCAATGAGTTTCCATATATGTATGCTAATAGAAAGTATGGAAAGATAAACAGAACAAGTTGTTTCCATTAGTTATCTCTGGAAAAAAGGATGCGATTTTCACTTTTTACTTACGTTACTATTTGATTTTTAAAAATCAGAAAACACTTATTACTGTGTAATTAAAAAAAACAATTAAAATTTAGATTAGAAAAAGGACATAAATCAAATATCTATCAACTTACTCAATTTTACACCAAGCATCTGAAGAATTTCTAGCACCAGCCAATGGATATCCAAGTGGAGATGTAATAAATGCCAGGATGGTGGGAAAAGCTGTGAATGACATTATCAACTGTGACTGAGAATTCATAATACATTACAAGGTGCTTGATAGCATATGACACCAACCCTCTATCAGCACCATGACAAAGAATCAATTAATCTACCACTAAGCTTAAGGAAAACCTTTATCTCGTTCATCAGAAGATTCTTTCACTAGAGATTTTGAAAGTAGGATAGGATATATTTTCATCTAATTTAAGACAGACCCACCTTGGGGCTGCTGAATAGATTTGTAAAGGACCCTTCCAACCAACTTCTGATTCTACTACAGCTGCAAGGCAGTAAAATAATTTTAAAAATTATTTACATGAATTTGTTTTAGACTTTAGTTAGCAAGTATGTTGTTAGCCCGGCTGATGTTGCCCAGTGGTTGAGCGTAGACCTATGAACCAGGAGGTCATGGTTGGATTCCCAGTCAGGGTACATGCCCAGGTTGTGGGCTCGATCCCCAGTAGGAGGCATGCAGGAGGCAGCTGATCAATGATTCTCTCTCATCACTGATGTTTCTATTTCTCTCACCTTCTCCCTTCCTCTCTAAAATCAATAAAAATATATTACCTTAAAAAATGTAATACATACCCAGGAACTCCTATAAAGAATGTTAAGAGAACTTTAAACTATAATGCAGACATTATAGTCATGCCTTTTAAGTTAAAAGAGGTAAAGAAATTATCTCTCAATTTTCACATTAGCATTCAAATCTAATTATGACTAAAAAGCCAGTGCTCTTAGCTATCTATAACCTTCTCCCAGTCAGCACTTAGTATCACTATAAAAATAAATACAGTGAGGCCTGGCTGGCATAGCTCGGTAGTTGAGTGTTGATCTATGAAGCAGGAGGTCACAGTTTGATTATTCCCTATCAGGGCACATGCCTGGGTTGTGGGTTCGATCCTCAGTGTGAGGAGTGCAGGAGGCAGCTGATCAATGATTCTCTCTCATCACTGATATTTCTATCTCTCCTTTTCTCTCTGACATCAATAAAAATATATTTTAAATATATATATAAATAAAAACTATGATACATTTTCTAGTAAAACAACTAGAATGATGCAGAAGGAACTCGCCATATCAAATATGCAAATAAAATAAAACACTACGTTAATAAATAATACTGGCTCAAAAATAGATAATAAAAAATAGCAAACAGGCCTAACCGGTTTGGCTCAGTGGATAGAGCGCCGGCCTGCGGAGTGAAAAGTCCCAGGTTCGATTCCGGTCAAGGGCATGTACCTGGGTTGCGGGCACATCCCTAGGAGGTGTGCAGGAGGCAGCTGATCGATGTTTCTCTCTCATCGATGTTTCTAACTCTCTATCCCTCTCCCTTCCTTTCTCTGAAAAAATCAATAAATATATTTTTTTAAAAAATAGCAAACATAGGGAAGAGAAATGGATAAATGTGGTATCCAAATCAGTGGGAAAAGCTGGGTCATTTAATAAGACAGAATGAATTTACTCATTTTAAGAAACTAAAGTTAGATTTCCCACCTCACAGAATTGTTTTTTAAAAAGATAAATCAAATAGATAAATGTAAAAACAAGTATATTTTTAACATCAGCAGATATAAAAGAAAAAATATAACTATATAAAAAACTTCAATCTAACCTAGTAAGTCAGCTTAATTGCTGAAAAAGATAAAAGAAAATATCTGTAATACGTAATACCCGAGTAATATTTCTAAAAAGTTCCCCCAAAAAACTAAATAAAACATACTCAATAGAAAATACCAATTAAATCAATACTTGTCATATATAAGATTGGTAAAATAGAAGAAATACATAAAATCTTGAAAGATGCTTTTTATTTTGTAAGATTTTTTGCTGTTGTTTTAGAAGAGAATTTTAGTGCATAATTTATTTTTTATGTGTTGAAGACTACATTCCCCTGCTTTTAAAAATTCAGTCTTGTAATCTTCAAATAACCTATCTTTTCAAGTTTGCTAAATTGAAAAGCCTATGAAGGGCAAAACCTAATTTGAGGACCGGAGCACACAATCTTTATTTCTGCTCCTGGATAAACTATTTTCTTAACCACTTAATGGATGTCCAGAAAATAAGAATGATTTGAACTTATAAAGACTAAAATGAAGGAAAACTATCCTTCCCCCAAGATCTACCTATGAGTCTTTATTAAATGATATAATTAAAAGCAATTACCTATTTGCTTTCTATGGATTATACATATAAACCTGTGAATTCAATTGAAACCCTATTTACTTTTATTGTTAGATATATTGATCCCTTATAAAGAGTCAATATTTGTTTGTTATTGTTAAATTTCACAGAAATATATGAACACTTAATTGTATTTTACATTTTGACAAATGTATGTTCCTAAAAACTAAATGTTCAAATTGGTGAGGTCAAATAGAATGGAAGAGGTTAAAAGTTCAGGGAATCAATGGGGAAGTATAATTTGTCATCCACTTAAACTCACATTATCCTATGAGAATTTGTTAATTATATCCGGAAGCTGGGTTATGCTACAATACAAATTTAAAAAAATAAAATAACTTCAGATGGAATAATAAAAGGTAGAGGGAAAGGGGCATTAGTCAAAACAATCTTTTTTTAAACCTCACCCAAGGATATGTTTTTAATGATTCTAGAGAGAAAGGAAGAGAGTGAGAAACATCAATCGGTTGCCTCCTGACCGGGATCAAACCTGCAACTTGGGTGCGTGCCCGGATCAGAAATTGAACCCACAACCTCTTGGTGATGGGACTACACTCCAACCGATGGAGGCACTTGGCCAGGGCAGTCAAAACCATCTTAATCATATTCTGAAAATCTCAAAGGTCAGATTAGACAAAATGATGTGGTTCTGAAAGTGTAACTTTTATAAGGTAATCTTCTTGAATTTTATTATAATAAAAAAGTAAGGAGCCCTGGCCAGTGTGGTTCAGTTAGTTGGGCATTGTCCTGTGCACTGAAAGGTTGCTGGTAGGATTCCTGGTCAGGACACATGCCAGGGTTGTGGGCTTGATCCCTGAGTAGGGGGTATGTAGGAGGCAGCGGATCAATGCTTCACTCTCACATTGATGTTTCTTTCTCCCTCTCCCTTCCTCTCTCTCTAAAAATCAATTTTAAAATCTTAAAAAAAAAAAAAGTAAGGAAAGATGACACATATTTTAGAAAATAAAGGTTATTTGATTTGAAACTTTTAAACATTTGCACTGTTATAAATTGGAATAGAGAAGTTTTCAGATTTAGTGTATACTATGTTTTAAAATGCTTTATTCATTTTAATTTATTTAATTCTCCCAGTAACTCTAGGAAGCTATACCAATTATACAGATGGGGAGAATGAGACAAGAGGTATTACTTGCCCAAAGGCACATAGTTAATAAAAGGAGGAGCCAGAATTTCAACTCAAGCCATCTGGTCCAGAGCTGCACTCTTGACTAATTTCCTTCATTCTTAAATAAATATTCCTTGTAAGAAGAAAAACTGATAATTTAAAAATTAAATAAGGCAAACCTGAATCTGATTTTGACTTATAAATGCTCCTGGATTAATACTGGGAAGTTCAGATAGGTGTCCAATATACAAGAGTAATCCATGAAGCTCATCAACCAACAGTGAGGGAAGCTGAGCCTCCAAAACCTCATAGGGATGAACAGGACCATGATTCTCAGTATTCTGTACTGTCAGGAACCTAAAAAACAATTAGATACAATAAACCACCAGAGTCTGGATGAATATGTACTCAGAAATTCATGCAGTAATCAAAAGACTCAACTGACGTCCTACCTGACGATGAAAACTTTAACATAATGAAGAAATGTTACGCATTGCTGCCTAATATTGTCTGCTTTGTAGTGTAGGGTTGATATCTTCCCTGAAACCAAAATAGAAGTTAATCATAGCTTAAGTGATTAATCAGTGAGCAGTAACATACAAGCACCAATTCTTTTAATTTTGTCCACTGATTTCTATGTAATTCTTACCACCCCCCGAAAATCCATTATTAAGGCTACCTTAGTAGCACTGACTACACCTGGCTTCACTGGCACCATACAGTGCCAGTCTTCTTTCTTCCTCATGTGTTCTTTCTCTTGCCTCTCCTTTACTGGCTCCTCCTCCTCTATCCTACCACTAGTATGGGCCTCTTCTCTCTTTTCCTGTGTGTATGATCAGTTCCTTTATCTCAAAATGATAACAACTTGAAAAGGTTTACCTATAACCCAGACCTCTATTCTGCACTCCAGACCTTGCATGTCAGATTGCCTAACATCTTTTATTTAGATTGCTCAGACACTGCAAATAATACATCCATGATTTCTTCCAAAATCTGTTCATGCCCATGTTTTTGCCACTCATTACAACTGGTGCCAACAGTTGCCTATATTTCATTCTTGCTTCTTTCATTTCCTTAAAACTTATATTTAATCCACCAGAGTCCTACTAAGTTTATGACCAAAATATACCTTCAAACTATCCATCTCTTTATAATCTCTTAAATTATTCCAACAGGTCTTCTAATAGGTCTTCCCATATTCTCCTTTGTTCCTCTACACTCTAAGCACAAAATATGCTTTAAATATATGTCAATTCCTGTTCCTCATAAATCAAACCCCATGAAAGGCTATCTACTATATTTAGAATGAAATAAAGACTCCTTGTAGTGATTTATAAAGCCCCGAGTGATGTATTAATATTGTCTGTCTTTCTCCCAACTTCAACCCAAGCCCTCTTCCCCACACTTCAACATCTATATCAGCAAAAATTACCTGGAACATTACTATATGCAAAACACTGACAATCACTATAAGAATGAGTAACAGACAATCACTAAACAAAAGCAGAAAAAAAATAACATGATGAGAATTAAGACAACAAATTCTCAACCTTATCACACATAAAGCAAAACTTATTTCTAAATTTGAACTTAAATGAGTAAACATGACCTCCGCTTTGTCAAAACCAACAGGATATGTTATGCAAATATCTCCATGTTAAACAGTACAGGGCATTTTCATAGCTTAATTATATTTCACCTACGAAAGTCACATCTTCCCTCAGTTTCACAATTCTCAGTTCATAAAGGCAGTACTCTGTTAAAAACAATTGCTGTGAACTCTTGCATCCAGCCAAGGTAGAGTAAAAGGAATCAGATTTACCCATATCCCATCTTTTACTAAAAAAACAAACAATCAACATTAAAAAAAAAAAGTTTTCAGGCACCAGAAACAAGGCAATGCAGGACTGCTATCCCAGAGAGAAGGAAGTCCTAAGACTGTTCCAGCTTCCCACCGAAATACAATTTCCAGGCTGCAGCACAGGGAGAGAGAACCCCAAATCACTGAGCTGAGGAGACAGAAGGTTTAAATTTATAGGGAAAAAGTACCAAAGAAGAAAAAAGCTACATTTAAAAAACAAAAAAAGCAAGCTCTGGAAATGTACAGAGGGTCCCATTGAATCTCTGGCAGAGTACTGATCTGTTCAAGCATGAGAAAAAATAACCCAAGACCAGGTAAAAACATCAGAAAACAATTCCCTAGAAAGCTTACACATGCCAGGAAACAGTTCAAGTTCCCACCAGAAAAAAAAAAATCATAATACACTAAAAAGAATCCTCAGAAGCCTTATTAGAGCTAACTTAACATTAGACTAAAGGCTACTTTTTATGAGTCCTAACAAAATTTAAACCAAGATTTAAAAGGTCCAATGGATTATAAGTACTTAACAGCAAGCCAAAATACAGTTTAATACTAGTCAGAGAAATACAAGAAAATCCAGAAAGCAGCAATGTAAAATCTACAATGTCCATCACACAATAAAAAATTGCTAGATTTTCAAAGAACCAGAACACTGTAACAAAGAAATAAGAGAAAAATCAATCAATACAAACAGGCCCAGAAATGACAATGATGAAAGAATATGCAGTCAACAAAGTTAAAAAGAACAGCTATATGTATACTCTTTATGTTCAAGATAGATTAAAAAAAAATATGGATAGCAATAGAAAATAAAAAACCCAAATACAATGTCTGTAGACAAAAAAACAAAACATGATGTGAAAAAGGAATAACACCAACAGCTACATTTAAGAACAGGGATTAGTAAAACGTACATTATTTTGTTATTCTGCCTCAAATGGAAAGCTATCTTATCTGGGTAGCACAATGAAAAGAACATATACACTTCAGTTAAGTGTCCCTACCTAAGGACTTTCTGGGGAGGACTGAAGGCCAAAGCTGGCTTCATGAGTTTAGTAACAGAGCCCTGATACAGCTGCAAAGGTTAAATCTACATCATGAACAGCTGGGGCCTCTCAATAAGAGGGAGTGGGGAGGGGATTGTAATAGGGTTTGGGCTTGTGCCGGCTGAGTTTGGGGAGAGTTTAAGGACTTTGGTCTGGATTGGATGCTGCTAAGAAGGAGGGGCTATTTGATGATTATGTTAATTTTTATATAGAGAGAGTCTAGGGAGGGTTCTACTTAGTTAAGAAGCAATAATCATGTTAGCTGAAGAGGGGGATGTTCTGTTTTAGTATTTTGCATTAGTAAGCCACTAAACCTTTCTTTGATCAAAAGTGTGTTCCAGGTAATCTTTAGTTGCTAAACATCACTAATAAGATATTAGGCTTAGCACTTAACCTGCATTATGTCATTTAATTCTCACAAGAACTCAATGAGGTGAGAAGTCTTACCTGGTTTGAGACCCACAATTAGCCTGGGGTGGAACTCAGGCTGACTACGGAGCCATGATTCTAAATACAAACTGCACCAAAACTGCCAGAAAAGAGCAGCAGCTGGTTTGCACTAAAAGACTGTCCTTCAATTCCTTTCATTACCTTAACTATATCCATCGCCTCCTCTCCCCCCGCCCAAATCAATAATCCATTAAATGTCAAAAACAGACAAACAAAAAACAGAAAGCAGAAAAGAGCAAGAAGAGAGAGTAAGGTCTGGTACTATTTCTCTTATGAGTTCCTATCCCACTCCCCACCTCCAAAGCTTGTTACTAATTCATTTCTGAGATATTTAGCCTTAAATCAATTTTACCTACAGATTTGAAAAAAATACTGTAAATCTCAGCTACAACAAAATTGTAGTGTTCAGAAAAAGTGTCATACACTGTATCCTGAACTTCTGACCTAACAATTCCTCCATGTTACTATGATATCCCAATTATGCATCATAAAACCCACGTGCAATTCACTGTAATTAGCCTTTAAACACACAACTTACCAAAATCACAGCTGGCCGGTAATAAGGTTTCCAAGTTATAGAGTTGTTGCCTAATTTAAAAAATGTAAAGTGAGAATTAATTTTACATTACTTTAAAGCATGTAATAATTACATGGGTAATGTTCCCAATACTTCATGAATGTTTATTAGAGGATCAGCTTCAGGTAGCAAAGACTTTGAGAAAATATAAAAATAACATATTAAAAGCTGCATATATCTCAGAAATTACATCAAATGTCATAGATGTCACTATCAATGAGATACTGTTTAAATCTTCAAGAAGTTTAAGATACTTGTATAAAATATCCTAGGTTAACAGTTATATAATAAAATGCTAAATTGTATCACACAAGGAGTTCAAAAAGGAATAGGTACACTAGTTATCAGGAAAAGTTATATTTATAATGTTCCACGTTAATTCCTGAGAGTAATCTTCCCTTGCCATCTTCCTAGTTCCCTTTCAACTCCTTAAAGATTTGTATCCTAGATAACGACTCAACTTATTCAGTAACGTTCAAAAATTAGAGAATCACTCACACAGCCTGGTCTCCCAATAAAACACACAGCATGGCACACATACAGTGATGTCTCTTCCCAAGGTCTATGGGATGAGGGTAGGAGGAGAAATTCCTGCACCTTTCCATTTTCATTTAAATGTAACATATATGATACATTTAATTTGCCCTCAATAACTGACTCTATTTCAACATTATCTAAAATCTGAATATGGACTAGGTTTTAAATGAAACATTATTTCAACTGTGTTCATTGTGATAATGAAACAGTGTTCATGTTTGAAAAAAAGGTATTTTTAAGAAATTCATCCTGAAATATTTAATAACATGATGCCTAGAATTTACTTAAAAATACTTCAGCAAAAAAAAATAAGAGGGGAAGGGACAGATGAAGGAAATGTGAAGAAACCTTGATGTTTATTGTAACTGAGGGAGTGTAGGTGGAGGTTCATTATACTATTCTCTACATTTTGTGTATGTTTGAAAACTTTCATTAAAATTTTTTAATGTCCAAATCACATTTCTATTACACAGTCTGAAACATATTTGGAAAGTCTAAGTTCATTCTCTCAAAATCATTGAAGACTATGGCTATTAAGCAACGAAAGTACTTTGGTTTTCTTCCAAAACTATAATGTAGTTTAGAGCCTTAAATATTTGTCTTGAACACAAGATGTCAAATAAAGATTCTGGAAAAGAATAGTTTCACTAAAAAACAATTCATTAAAACCATTACTCCATAAAACATTACTGTTAATTTTGTTATTAATAAGATACTCAAGTGAACAACAAGCACAACTCTACTGGTGCTTTTGTTAATATCAGTATTAGAAACCACACAGCAATGTAACTTACAAAAGTGAACAATAGCATCTCTACTCCAAGGAAATTTTTTTAAAAAAACATACCTGAATAAATGAAATAGCACTCTAGATGAATTCACTAATGCTGTTTCAGTAACCCACTGAATGCCAAATATTTCCACTGTATCCTCTTCAAAATTAGTTGGTAAAGGATCAAGATTCAAAATTAATCTGAAATGAAAACTATGATTAAATCTCATGAAAAGTATACTAAGTCCCATAAAATAGCATGTCTTTTTTGACATTCTAGGAACCCTTATTATACACGACATGCCAGTGATATTATAAAGTCAGAATATGCCTTGGTACCATACATATTAGTAAAGACATACGAAAGCTAGAACTATATGAAAAATCCAGTCCTGTATACTAATAAAAAGGTATAACTAAAGAGCAATGTAACTTATGTGTAAAACACAAAAAGAAGTCTAAGGAACATACTTTGGTCTGTGTTGAATACTGGCCTTCAGATGTAGAATTCATCCTTTGAGGGGACATTTAATTTTTAAAACAGCTAAAAGATATTCTGAGCCCTGTCTGGAGAACAGCATAATAAAACTGGGTAATCTCTTTTTAGGTCTCAAACAAAGTGCAACTATAAAACCACAAAAATTACTTCCTTTCTGACTGAAATTGCCTCAGAAGGCATTCCCAAAATATTTCAATAACAGCAGTTTTACAACAATATGTGTATAACTAATTGCCCAAGGCAACAAAAGATGTGCATGTCCTCCTTATTAAGAAGCTCCAAAATATTATTCCATGTTTTAGGAGGAAACATCATTTCAAAAAGCCCATGAAGTTCAGGATTCATTTTAAATAAAAGGAAAATTAAAACCCAGCTCCTTGCCCTGGCCGGTTTGGCTCAGTGGATAGAGCGTGAGCCTGTGGACTGAAGGGTCCCGGGTTCGATTCCGGTCAAGGGCATGTACCTTGGTTGTGGACACATCCCCAGTAGGGGGTGTGCAGGAGGCAGCTGACCTATGTTTCTCTCTCATCGATGTTTCTAACTCTCTATCCCTCTCCCTTCCTCTCTGTAAAAAATCAACAAAATATATTTTTAAAAAAATAAAATAAAACCCAGCTCCATACCTATGCCCAACGGAGGCAGCTGTGAAGTAAGAGAACATCAGGTAGCAAGAAAGTTCTCCTTCACCTTCAAAATCTTTTAGGTATTCGCTGAACCATAAAGCCAACAACAGAACTAAGAGCTTGCATCTGTCTGATATACCAAGCCGATTTACAAAAAGATGGTTTGAACATGAAAGTTTAGCTGCCTGAAATCTTAATTAAAACATTCCTAACAAACTAATGAAAAATCTGATGAGGGTGAAACAACCTCCGATTTTTTACCTACCGCTTAAGGGCTCCACTGGCAAGGTAGGACTCTCCAGAAAAATGTTTCCCTCCTCCTCTGTTGTCAAACGCGCAAGAAAAGCAAGGGGGTTTGCACCACTCGGTTCCCAGCTCCAGTTCCAAGCTGTCGGTCAGGTAGGTCGACGCGGCAGAACAGTTATCCATTGCTTACTTCATGTCCTGAAACATGTGAGGTTCATTGTAATGATCATCGAGGGCTCCAAAGAGGTTGCGAGGAGATTCCTGGAGGTGGGGCGGGTGACGTCAGGAAGTCCCCCAAACGCTCCCCTCCCCGGCACAAAGAAAACTGAGAAGCCCCGTTCCCAACAACTCTCCTCACCGCCTCCCCAAGACCAAGCTGTCGGGACGTACGCAGAAAGCACCCACGACTGGCTGTATAGGAACTGAAAACCCTGCCGGCTGACCCTGCCGCAGCCCGGGACGGGGTCCAGAGGAGAGACTTGCTGGTGGGGCAGATGCAGCTCCACCTCCCGAGCCCGCCTGGACCCGCACCTTCACTACGTTATTAAACCGCCCAGCGCCAGGGGCCCCGCAGTGTCGTGGGGAAGCTCCTCTGCAGATTCGCGTGGGGATCCGGAGGGCCCCGCGCCAACCCCCCTCCTCCCGGCCGCGGCGCAAGTCTTCCCCCGAATCGACACGGAGGAGCCTGGCGAGAGGAGCCACAGTCCTGCGCACCGGGGCACCCCCTCTCCGGTGCTCGTCGTACCTACTCACACTTCCACTCCCCGAGATCCGCCCCGGCGGTCCCAAGCACAGCCCCAGACTCCGTGCGGTCCAAATCCCAAACAAGTGAAATTCCCGCCACGCCGCGCGCGCGCTCGGGAGGGCGGGGCCACGGCTGAGCCCGCCCCCGAGGTCCGCTCGCGAGGTCTCCGCGGGAACCGCCGGCACTTGCGAGTTCTCGCGAGAGTCTTCCAGCCTAGCTTTCGGTGCGGCTTTTCGCCTTCTCTTTCTCGTCCCCCTCCCCCCCCCCACTTTCGTTTTAATTGGTGCGTTGGTCCGGAAGGCGGGGCCTCACACTGCAACAAACGCGGTCCCGCGCCTAGGTGATCCACGCCTGGGACGGCGGCTGTCTTCCTGGTGGAGTTTGTGAAAAGCGCTGTTGTTCCAATGAGTCCGAAGCGGGTGCCTGTGGCTCCTGGATTGGGAACCAGGCAAGTGCAAGAATGAGGCTAATCCAGCCTATGGAAACACTGGTATGAAAACTGTTGCTCCACTTTTTTTTTTTTTGCAACAAATCGGGACAAGTTTAAATTGTTGAACGTAATCGCAACATTTTAAGTGTTCTGTAAAATCTCCTCAGAAGGCTTTTCAGTCTAAGTCAGAGATGACACATTTCAGCATATCACTGCCGACAGAGTCCAGAAAAACATGAGAATTTCTCATTCATATGTGCTGCTATCATTTGATTATTCCCCAGTGCACATCCTCCACAATACAGTTTGTCTTGCGTTCTAGGGAACCTACCGTAACTCTCTCCTCTGTTCAAACCAAATACTGTAAATTTTCTGACAAGTGGGATAACGTGGGGAAAAACACAGCATGATCTCTATTCTGATTACAACCTAGGGCCGCTGTGATGGGTCTGTTATGCTCATCTAATGTACCATGAGACATGCTTTTGGGGGTACCACTGTAGCCCAAGCTTGCTTATGGCCATGGGAATCACTGGCGTGACACATGGTGTCTTCTACAACAATGCCTAGGTCCTAGGTCCTAGGAAATAATGCCTAAGTAGGCGAATATTGGGCCGTGGCCCTGAGTTTAGGAGAACTGGGTCAGCATAGTCATTATTACTTCTTCCATTCAAAACATCTGATAGGCCTTTTTTTTTTCCTTCTTCAAGTGCCTGATGTTGAATGATACACTTAGTTGAACCAGTGAGTTAAATGGAAAAAACCAAATAAACTCTCTGTAAATAAGCAAGTAGTATAACATGTTACATCAGTAAGAATCCCTAGCAGGTAACAGCTGGCATACTGGAGAGTGGTGATTGAAGGAGCCATTTAAAAGGTGTGGACAGAGTTACCCAAAAACTAAAAGTGATGGTGAAGTAACCAGAACTAATCAGAGAATCATTATGACCCTTAGGCCAAGGGGCCAGGGAAGGAGGGATTACCAAAGCCCAAGGAGGATTTATTGCTGTAAGAGACGACCACCTAGCTGATAGCTTCCTACGGTGCCTTCATAGAGAAACATTCCCACTGCCAACCTGCTAGCCCGAAGGGAGGAACTGAAAGGATTAAGTACCCAAACCTCTCCCTGCACACTCCAGTGTCCCCCCTGGTGTCTTTCATTGGCCAAAATTGAACTAAAAATAGAGGGCAAGGATGTAATCTATAAAGTTCAGCCTCATGGGTTAGAGTCCAGACTAAAGAAGGGTACAGTGAGAATCTGACAGAAAGGGGTCAGTTATATCAAGAAGACATAATACTAAATATGTACATATCCAGTAATAGAACATCAGCATACAGAAAGGGAAAAATACTATTACTTATAGAAGAAATACTCAAATTAATGATTATGATTAGGATTTCAGCATTCTTGTCTGTAAGTAATGGAACAAGTAGACAGAAAACTAGTATAGATTCAAGAAGACTTGAACAGCACTACCAACCAATTTACCTACTTGACATTTACAGGTGACTCAACCCAATAATAGCAGAATATGTTCTTCACAAGTACACATGAAACATTCACTAAAATAAACAATATTCAGAGTGATAATACAAAGTTCATCGACTTTAAAAGGATAGGAACCATACAAGGTACAATGTTTGACCACAATGGAATTAAACTAGAAATAAGTAATAGATACCTGAAAAAGCTCTAAATATATGGAAATTAAGTAACACTTCTAATTCAAGGAAGAAATCACTAGGAAAATTAGAAAATATATTGAATTGAATGAAAATAAAAACATTAACATTTATAACATTAACTGCTTACATTAGAGAAAAAAATAACTCAATTCAATAATTTAAACTTCTAGCCTGGCTGATGTGGCTCAGTGGTTGAGCGTCGACCTATGAACCAGGAGGTCATGATTCAATTCCTGGTCAGGGCACATACCAGGTTGCAGGCTTGATCCCCAGTGGGGGTTGTGCAGGAGGCAACCAATCAATGATTCTCTCTCATCATTGATGTTTCTATCTCTTTCTTCCTCTCCCTTCCTTTCTGAAATCAATAAAATTATATTTTAAAAAATAATAATAATTTAAACTTTCAAACAAACTAGAAATAAAACAGCAAAATAAAATCAAAGCAAGCAAAATGAAGGAAATAATAAAGAGTAGACATAAATGGGATGAAACAAGAAAAATAGGAGAAATAAATGAAACCATAAGTTGGTTCTTTGAAAAGATTAATGTAATTGATTAAACCCTCTATCCAAACTGATCAAGATAAAAAAGAGGGGAGACACAAATTACCAATATCAGGAATTAAAGAGGTACCATCACTGTAGATTCTACAAACATTAAAATGATAATGATATTAAGAAAAATTTTATGCCAATGAAATGGAAAAATTCCTTGAAAGACAACTGCCAAAGGAAAAAAAGATAATTTGAATAGCCTAGATCATCTTAGGAATTTTAATTTTTAGTTAAAAACTTCTGTTTCTCATAAAATACACACTCAAACATTAAACTGATTGCAAAGTGTGACAACAAGAAAAGAAATTACAATCCAATATGACATGCAAACATAGAGGCAAATTTTTTACCAAGCAAAATATAGCAATACATAAAAAGGATGACATATTCTAAGAAAATTAGGTTCATCTTGGGAATACAAGGTTAGTTCAAATTTCTTAGAGCGTCCGCAGGCCGACGCTCTATCCACTGAGCCAAACCGGCCCCGGCAAGGTTAGTTCAAATTTCAAAGCACAATCAGGGTCGTTCATTATTTCAGTACTGTAAAAGGAAAACCACATTATCATTTCAATATGCATAAAATCACTTTAAAACGTTCAGCCTTCATTCTTGGCAAACTATGAATAGAAGAAAATGTCCCTAAACTGATAAATGGCAACTATGCCAAGTTTATTAATATGAAAATGAATGCCTTCTTCCTAATATTGAGAACAAGGCAAGGATGTCTGCTTTTTCTACTTCCAGTCAACATTGTACTGGAGGAAACTAACCAATACAATATGGTATGAGAAAGAAATAAAAGTAATATAGGTTGGAAAGGAAGAAGTAAAGCTGTCATTATTCTGAGGTGATATAATCATTTATGTAGAACATCTTTAAAAATCTATGAAAACAGTTTCTAGAGAACTAATAATGAGTTCAACAGGTGGCAGAGTTCAATGTCAATATAAAAAATAATTATATGTTTCTAGACAAGTAATGAACATTTAAAATTGTAATTAAAAAGCAATACCATTTTTAATGGCATCAAAAATACTTAAGAGATAAATTTAACAAAATAGACACAAGATATTGAGGGTTACAAAATATTGCTCAGGAAAATTTTTAAAAATTAAATAGAAAGATGTAGCATGATGACGAATTGGAAGACTCAATATTATTAAGATTTATTCTGAAATTTATCCAGAAGTTCAATGGAATGCCAATCAATGGGATTATTTTGTAGAAATTCACAAATGTTTTCAGAAATTTATATGGAAATGCAAAGGACCTAGAATAACCAAAACAATTTTGAATAAGAACAGTGTTGGAAGATTAGAAGTACCTGATCTCCTGACTTTTTCTAAAGCTACAATGTTCAAAACATTGTAGTATTGGTCAAGGACACATGTAGTCAATGGAACAGAGTAGAGAGTCCAGGAACAGACAGATCCCCGTACATATATGGTCAATTGATTTTTGGCAAAGATATTCAGTGATGAAAAACATAGTCTTTTCAACAAATGATGCTAGGACTATTGGATACTGATACACTAAAATATGAAGTTTGCCCTTTATGTCACACTATTTACAAAACTGAAATCAATATAAATTATGAACCTGAAATATAAATTATAAATCTAGGTAAGAGCTAAACTATGAAACTTAAATATTCAGAGGATTAGTAAACAGGGATATGCCAGCAAAGAAAGGCAAGAAGTAAGGTCAGTATTCAGGAGAAAACTAAAGTGTGTGTACTGTTTTGTAATGTCTGTCATGAAGGTCAAGAGATGTGTTTCATGCCTTAGCCAGTTTGGCTCAGTAGATAGAGTGTTGGCCTGTG